CGGGGGGGGGTGGTTTAGATAAGACAGTGGCCATCAAGCAGTAGTTCACTTTGTGACTTTGTCCTTTAAAATGAAACAGTACACTGACATTTCTGTAAATCATCTATTTGTTACAAAAGCATTTATCACTAACACTGTTAGGGAAAAAAATGAACGTGTTATGTTGTGTGTTGATTTAAGTGGTGCATCTAAATTTTGTGCTGGTGCCCCTAAAATTTTCAGTAAGGAGCGACAGTGCTACTAGTGGAAAAAGCTAGTCTGGAGCCCTGTTGATACGTTTGCGTTTAATTATATAAGTGGTCTGTGCCATGCCCATTCCCCCCCCCCCCCCCACACACACACACATATTTAATAGTAAGAGTCCACCAGCAGTCACAAATCCACAATGTGTAAACCACTATATAAGCTATAAGTTAAAGAAAAACACATACAGGTTTCAGTATATTAGAAATACAGACTCAATGATTAGAAAAATAATTATGTGGACTTTGAAACAGAAATTCCTACCTGTGTGTGTGTTTTTTCCCCTTTTCCTTCCTGTTCCACTGCTCTCAGAGGAAATACCCATATCATCACCAAGTGGCAGCGGAAAGCAGATGTAAAACCAAAGACATAACAAAAGACGTTCTGTAAAGGAAGGCAACACCTGGCAAGAGTCACTGATATTACCCTGCACATGCAAGTGGCTTTGATGGTTATGAAGCAACACCAATTTAAACCAAGCCCACCCCTCCTCCCTCGTAGCAACAGTGGTCAGAGCAGCATATAAAAAAGGACGGTGAGTGGACGGGAGTCAGAAAAACATAGGGAGGATATACAGTAAAAGATACCAGGGAGGTTAAGAGGTCATTTATAGCAGTTTGATGGGTCAAAGGCTCTGTGAAAAAGCTCAGTAAGGCAGAGAGCAAGTGTTGGGGGGAATAGTAGTAGTAGTAGTGGCTTTAAAACACAGTTTAAGTTCAAAATTATGGAGTGGGTCAAAGTTAAGAAGGAAAAGGTGAACCGGTAGAGGGAGCCTGCCCACTTTGCCTTACAGGATGGTGCTGGTGGGCATTGTGTGGGTGGGTGGGGTGTTATGTATGGAAATTAAAAGGGTGGGGGCACCTTGACATGACACCCGTTTTTTTGTCTGCTTCCCTGCTCCCTACCCCTCTGCCTCCACTTCCTCCTGGTCAGTCCCCTCACTGCAGCATCAGCTGCTTGAGGTTGTCATGAAGGATGGTGTCCTTGACATCACGGAACACCAGCCGGATGTTCTCAGTGTTGATGGCTGTGGTGAAGTGGTGGTACAGTGGCTTCTGCTGCTGCTTCTGCTGCTGCTGCTGCTGCTCACGGCGCTTTTTGCGAAAGCATTCTACCAGGAAGCGCTGGACATCTGTCAAGCTCGTGGGTTCGCCTGGGAATTCAGGGAAGTAGTCTTTGATGGATACTTGTTTCACCTTCTCCTCCAGCAGGTCCGTCTTGTTCAGGAAAAGGATGATGGAGGCGTTGCTGAAAATCCGGTTGTTGACAATAGTCTCAAAGAGGTTGAGGGACTCAATCAACCGGTTGGTCCGTCGGTCCTCCATCAGCACCTGGAGTTGAATGCAGATGTGATGGGGTTAAAGGTGATTGTGAGGTGTATCTGGAATACAGTACATAAGTTTTGTTATGTACTGTATATAATAAAATTAAAGCTCTGTCAAAATCAGCTTCTTACAATGGTAAAGCTGACTTGTCAAAGCTATTTACCAATGCAGCGACACTTCAAGGATGTTTCTAAAAACTCACAACTTTACCAGCAATTCCACTAGAAGACTCAACAGCAATCAGAGTGCAAGTCTCTGCCAAGTACAACTCAGTTTCCCCATGATGCCATTAAACTTAAAAGCAATATTTCCATGACAGTCTGACCCTCATAATATGCTTGTCCATGAAAACCAACCTCGGCATTTGTAATGATGTTGATATCATTGTTAGTTTGAAAGCTATTAAAAAAAAAAAAAAAACAATAAATTTTAATGGCTGAGAAAGGCCACAAATGCCTAAATAAATGCCCCATGCAGACTGACACAGCAATGTGTACTTACAGTAGGGCTGACCGATAAATTGTATTTTCATCGTCATTGTGATATAAATATGTGCAGTAAACACGTTGCAAAAGACTGCCTGAAACTCAATCAATAAGAAAAATCACATGCCACAGTGTTTCCCATACAACAATTTATTTGTGTGGGGCCACAACAATATCAACAGTGACCATCAGATATTGATTTATAATAGGTTAAATCTTGTTCGAATGTAGTGCCGTGTGTAGCACGTATTCATTCAGGCCCTCTGCACACCACTCCATTTCTCTCTCTCACACAAACACATCTACCATGACAACTGTAAACATGCTGTATATAGCATGGATGTACACCGCCTGCTCTACAAGTGGATTAAGTTAATGCTAGTTCATAAACTCTGGCACAGCAGGCTTGCCCCTCAAGTCTAGAGGAATATCGAAAAACACACCCGGGAGACCTGATCAGTCCGATCAGTGTGATTAGCAATCTAATTAATTCATTTCAAATATTTACTGCCGCTGTTGAAACAGCAAGAGAGGGTCAGGAAGAGATGGCTGAAGAGATGAACTGTAGGAGAGGATGAGGGCAGCAGCCTACATGCTGCTGCTGTGGGAGAGCCAACTAGTGCAGAAGGGATAGGTCGTATGAACAGTACAACAGCACAGAGTTAGCTTACTATAGTGTTACTATATTTAATTTTAAAAATATATGAACGCTACTACTTACTTTACTTTTAAATTGCTGTTTAATTTGTTTATTTCCGCTCCCTATTTTTATTTATGTTGAGCTTAAAAAAAGTATTAAAAAAAACTTTCACTTCTCATAGTTATATAGTATTATTTTATAATAACAGTTAATTGGGTATTCATATATGTTTTGTTCAATAAAAAGGTTTGAAATAATTTATCTAATTTCTTTACTCAGTGTGCATGGGCTATTTAATGTTTGGTTCAATGTTAGCAGTGTACCTATTAAGGCAGAAAGATACTGTATATAAACTGTATAGCTAAAATACACAAATATTTACTTATCACAAGTCATATTTCCATTGCAATACTGAACAGTGTTATCACACTATTTCCTCATATTGTGGAGGCCTAACTTAGTCTGTCATAAATGCACATACAGTGGCAAGAAAAAGTATGTGAACCTTTTGGAATTTCATGGTTTTCTGCATTAATTTGTCATAAAATGTGATCTGATCGTCATTAAGTCGAGTGCTGACGAATATAATGTGGCTATAATAACAAAAAAAATTCAGATCTTTCATGTGAGTGAAGACACTCATTCAACATTCAAAATGGTAGTGGACAAAGTAAGTGAACCCCTGGAATTAATAACTGGTTGACCCCCCACCCCCTTGGCAGCAATAACCTCAACCAGGTGCTTCCTGTAGCTGTGGATCAGAGCTGCACATTGTTCAGGAGGAATTTTAGCCCATTCTTCCTGACAGAACTGCTTTAGCTCCGTCATATTCTTTGGACGTCTCCCGTGTATGGCTCTCTTCAAGTCATTCCATAGCATCTCTACTGGGTTGAGGTCTGGGCTCTGACTTGGCCACTCCAAAAGGCAGATTTTGTTTTTCTGAAGCCATTCTGTTGTGGACCTGCTCCGGTGTTTTGGGTCATTGTCCTGTTGCATCACCCAACTTCTACAGAGTTGCAGCTGACGTACAGACATTCTCACATTATCCTGAAGAAATTTTTGATAGACTTGGGAATTCATCTTCCCCTCAATGATTGCAAGCTGACCAGGCCCTGATGCAGCAAAACAGGCCCAAATCATGATGTTTGCTCCACCATACTTTATGGTTGGGATGATGTTTTCATGATGATATGCAGTGCCCTGTTTACGCCAGATGTAGTGCTGTGTGTTCTTTCCAAATAGTTCAGTCTTAGTTTCATCAGTCCCACAAAACATTTTGCCAATACCGCTGTGGAGTGTCAATGTGCTTTGGAAAACTTCAGGTGTGCAGCAATGTTCTTTTAGTAAGCAGTGGCTTCCTTCATGGTGTCCTGCCATAGATACCCTGCTTGTTCAATGTTTTACGTACTGTAGACTCATGAACATAGATGTTATCCACCTTCAAATCTTTGGCTGTCACTCAAGGTTGTTTCTTTACCTTGTTGATGAGTCTTTGTTGTGCTCTTGGGGTCGTTTTGACTGGGCGCCCACTTCTTGGTAGAGTAGCCACAGTCCCAAAGTGTCTCCATTTGCAGATTGTTTGCCTAACTGTAGACTGGTGAATTCTTAAAGTCTTTGAAATCACTTTTTAACCCTTTCCCACCCTTATGTAAATCAACAATTCTTGATCGTAGATCGTCTGAAAGCTATTTTTAGCGAGGCATGGTTCACATAAACATATTCTTCTTGTGTGGAGCAAACTCAATAGGTTTGAGTGGTTTTTATCTGTCAAAGTAGCTCTAGTTCACACCTCCAAACTCATTTTCTTAACAAGACTCCAGGTATGCTAACACCTGACTCCAATTAGCTTTTTGAGGTCATTAACTCAAGGGTTCACATACTTTTTCCACTAGAAGTTTTTACGGTTGTTCTCAATAAAGACATGAAAGATCAGAATTTTTTTTGTGTTGTTATATTAGGCACATTATATTTGTCAGTACTCTTGACTTAGATGAAGATCAGATCACATTAAAAGTTCTGGCTTTGGTTAATGCTACATGGGTTGTTAAGGAAAAAAAACAATTAGTTCCCAGTTTTATCCCAGTGGCTCCTTAGTTCCTGAAACAATTTGGTGAAAAAGGAACTTTCTTTATATTATGTGTATTTTTAAAGACAGAATGCAAAACATCACTGGGTTTGCATTACATTGTCTCATTGTTGTTCATATGAAACAACACTTCACAAACACACGCCCTTGTGTTATTTAAAGCAGAGATTTCTTAAGATTTGAATGTGGCCAAACACTGATATTCTCATAAGAGAAAACTTTCAGTTGCAGGAAAAACTAGTTCGGGACCCTGCAGGCTGTCTCACTACCATGAGAGGTTTCATTCAAAATAGCTGAGATGATGGTGTTTTTCTAGGTCTGAGATGTTGTGTACTTGAATTTAATAATGCGATTCTCTTATGAAAGCTACTTATTTTAGTTAGCTTATTTCAGTAGAATGCACCACTGTCAACTTTGCCACATTCAGGAATTCCACGCCCAGTATTTGTGTGTCCTCACTGTGTGGTTTCCAGCTGACTCACCTGGTCATATTCAGAGGAGGAAGCGAGGAAGAGGATGGAAGTGACTGAATCAAAGCAATCAAACCAGTGCAGCCTCTGAGAGCGCTGACCGCCTAAGTCCAGCATCTTGAAAGGCACATTTTTAATCTCAAAGCAATACTCGTAGATGCCCTTGGTGGGCTTTCTGGCCAGGAGGATGTCCTGTTGGCTGGGGAGGTAGTCCTGCAACCAGATAATTACAGGTCTTAAATTCTGACAAGTTACAGGCAAGTTATAATTTTTTATGGTACTGTACATATCTTCAAGGAAAATCTTCAGTTTTGTGTTGCCAATATAAGCAGTGCGCACACTTGTCACATTTCACATGCTGCTGTTTTGAGGACATCCCTGCTTAAACACTCCATTCCTGAAATACCAGAAGACATACGCAAGTGTAGAGCTGCAGGAGCACGAGAGAGAGATTTTTGTGTGTGTGTGAGAGTGTCTGTGAGGGGAGCAGAACGGTTTAGTTCCCCTTATGAGTGACATGGCTTTGCCAGTCAAGGCAAATTAAACAGGTTAACCTTTAACTAGATGTGACTGAATATGGCAGCAGTCTGAAGGGGTTAGCATTAATGCCTCTGTTGTGGGTGGCAAAACCTTAAAGGATAAACTTTCAGACCCTTGCCCTATCATGCATCCTCACTCCTCTCTAGGATCATAGACAGTTTTCTTTGAGATCACAATTATTATCTTTGTTAGCAGTTATAATAATGCACAGTACTTTAATATTTACTTGGCTATAATCTATGTGCCTTACATATTTATCCATCCATCCATCCATTTTCCTCCGCTTATGCGGGACCGGGTCGCAGGGGCAGCAGTCTAAGCAAAGATGCCCAGACTTCCCTCTCTCCAGACACTTCCTCCACCCCCTCC